GGCAATCCATAGCAACTCTCCCTCTCCCCACTCGTTGCAACACTTACACTACTCGATCAGGGAAAGGGAGAGCCAAGATGTGTGGTTACAGCCTGCGCTCCTGCCTCACCACATAAATCAAATAACATGCAGCCATCATCCAATTCATCATGCTTCTCATCATCATCATCAAAACCCCTATACCCCAAAAGTCCTATGGTGACGGACGAGTGGCGACAAGGACAGGTCAAAGATAACTGCCGGGAGTCTGTAGTCAAAACTATGCACACGGGCGGCATAGATAAGATGGTTGTTTATGCAATGGGATTTAGGCAGCAGTGCAATCCAGTCCTGTCTGTGTGACTAAGCAGCCCTTTCGTGAAGTCACTCTGCTCACCCCACATGGGGAGGGGACTAGAAAAGGTGCCCTAAACATAGTCTGCCTAAAGAACCAACCTGACTGGGCATCCTCATCCAGTAAGGTCAGCCTTATGCGGTCAATAAAACAAATATAATCACAGTTCCCCCCACACCCACCAAAAAAGAAAACTATGCAACCTATTATGATCGCTACATGGAATGTCAGGAACTTCTGGATACTGGCACAAATGAACATCCTGAAAGAAGAGCTGCCCTTGTGTCAAAAGATCTGGATAGGTATAACATCGACATAGCAGCCATTAGTGAGTATCGGCTCCCAGACGAGGGGCGACAAATACAGTAGAACTGGGATCTGGCTATACCTACTTTTGGAAGGGTAAGGCTGCTGTGGAGAGAACCAGCATTTATAGAGTTCACCTTGCCATCCGCCAATGCATTCTACGTAGGCTAACTGAAATTCCTGCTGGGATCAACGAGCACCTCATGCTGCCCCAAGTCCCAGTGAATCACTCACGTCATGCTTTCTTCACCAGTGTATACGCCCCAACACTAGATGTAGAGAATGATATCAAAGAGGACGTTTAAGCGGACTTTGATTGAGTGCTAACCTCTATCCCAAGAGAAGAGAAGGCTGTGCTCCTAGGTGACATCAATGCCAGAGTTGGCAGAAATACTGACATTTGGCAAGGAATCATAGGGAGAAATGGACAAGGCAGGTGTAATCCCAACGGACTACTCCTCCTCAGCAAGTATGCAGCACACAACCTCACTATTACCAATACCTTGGTTAGGCAGGCAGACAAGTTCAAGGGTTTGTGGCAACGCCCACGATCCAAACACTATCATCTCATTGACTACATCATTGTCAGAGAAAGATATCGCCGAAATGTCGTCATCGCCCGAGCCATGAGTGGTTCAGACCACTGCGACAGAACCAAGCTCTCACTTCACGTCGCCTCAAAACGGCGAAGGCAGCAAGCCTCCAGAAGAGGAGAGGATCCAGCGGTAGTCCATGCTTTCAGACAGCAGAACAAACAATCGAAATACCAGTGTCGAATTGAATATTCTCGACACTGTCATGACAAAACGTGCAGAAAGATCCTCGGCCAGATCCAAAGGATTCATCAGGACTGGTTTGATGAAAATGACCCGGAAATCAATGTACTCGTCTACGATAAGCGTGCTGCTTTAACTGATTGGCAGCACAGCCATCAGTCTCGGACCAAAGCTGATACCTTCCGTAAAAAGAAAGCGGTGGCCAAGCACGAACTTTGCAATCTAAAGAACGACTAGTTTAAAAATGAAGCATATGGAACACAAAAACTTGCAGATCAACACAGGATACACGAATTTTTCAATTCCACTAAAACATTTTATCGGCCAATCACTCATGGGATAGCCCCCCTCCGCTTATCCGATGGTAACTCCCTAATATATATATATATATATATATATATATATATATATATATATATATATATATATATATATATATATATATATATATATATATATATATATATATATATATATATATATATATATATATATATATATATATATATATATATATATATATATATATATATATATATATATATATAAAACAAATAAGTATGTCTGTGTGTGTGTTTGTTTGTGTGTTTGTGTGTATGTGTGTCCGCACGAGAATCTCGGAAACTACTTTACCGATCTGTAGTGATGATTGATTGTGTTATATGTAGTGATGATGGATGGTGTTATATGTAGTGATGATGGATGGTGTTATATGTAGTGATGATGGATGATGTTATATATGTAGTGATGATGGATGTTATATGTAGTGATGATGGGTGGTGTTATATGTAGTGATGATGGATGGTGTTATATTTAGTGATGATGGATGGTATTATATGTAGTGATGATGGATGATGTTATATGTAGTGATGGTGGGTGGTGTTATATGTAGTGATGATGGATGATGTTATATGTAGTGATGATGGGTGGTGTTATATGTAGTGATGATTAGACAATAAAATAATAACAGTTTAATGCCAAAAAAATCTTTACATACTTGCTGCTAATGGCAAAACCAAAAATGTGGTCTACCCTAATGCACCACAGTGAGACAATGTGGAGCCTCCCGGAGGGTGGTGTCCTACCGTGGCATTACAATGGTCATTGGTGGAGACTTTCGCCAGACCCGACTTGTCATTTCTCGAAGCACTCCAGCTGATGAACTGAATGCATGCCTCAAGGCATCATACCTTTGAAGAAGTGTTCAGACACTCACCCTACCCACAAACATGAAAGTACATCTACAAGGAGATCAGGATGCTGGACGGTTTGCAAACCTTCTACTACAGACTGGGAATGGAACTTTCTCTGTTGATTCAGAAGGACAAATAATCATTCCTCAAGGATGTGGAAATATTGAAAAGTCCTTAACTGAGCTCACTAACATGGTCTACCCAAACATTATCCACCACTACAAGGATCACAAGTGGCTGCGTGAGCGCGCAATTCTGGCACCAAAGAATGAAACAGTGGCTGAAATCAACATGACTCTACTCAGACAGCGTCCAGGCAGTGAGACCTCATTCAAGTCTGTTGATACAGTAATCGACCAGGACCAAGCAGTCCAGTACCCTGCAGAATTCCTTAATTCTTTGGAGCCCGCTGGAATGCCTCCTCACCACCTCACTCTCTAGATTGGAACTCCTATAATGCTCTTAAGAAATCTTGAACCACCAATCCGGTGCAATGGCACAAGACTGGTGGTGAAGAACATGATACCACATGTACTGTAAGATACAATACTGACAGGAAAAACTAAAGGAGAGGACGTGTTTATACCAAGGATACCTCTCATCACCACTGACCTGCCATTTGAATTCAAGCAACTTCAGTTCCCGGTTAAAGTGAGCTTTTCCATGTCCATTTACAAAAGCCAGGGACAGTCCCTAAAGATGGTTCACCTAAACCTGGTGTTTCCTTGCTTCTCTCATGGACAGTTCTATGTTGGATGCTCCAGAGTGGGAACTGGCAAAAATCTGTACATACTTGCTGCTAATGGCAAAACCAAAAATGTGGTCTACCCTAATGCACTACAGTGAGACAATGTGGAGCCTCCCGGAGGGTGGCGTCCTACCGTGTGTGTTTGTGTGTGTGTGTGTGTGTGTCCGCACGAGAATCTCGGAAACTACTTTACCGATCTGTAGTGATGATGGATGGTGTTATATGTAGTGATAATGGATGGTGTTATATGTAGTGATGATGTATGATGTTATATGTAGTGATGATGGGTGGTGTTATATGTAGTGGTGATGATGGATGATGTTATATATAGAATATGAAAAGTATCCCTCTATTGTCATTGGCAACATGGATAAGAAATGTGAATACTGCGGTGCAAAGAAGTACAAAAGAGAATCTGCTGGACTGTGCTGCTCTCATGGGAAAGTACGACTGCCAAATTTGGCAAAACCACCACAACCTTTGAAGACTCTTATGCTGAAGACTCTCATGCTGGGAACAACACCAGAGTCAAAACACTTCTTGGAAAATATACTGAAGTACAATTCATGCTTCCAGATGACATCCTTTGGAGCTACCAGAGTAGTTCGTGAGCACGGATACATGCCCACATTCAAAGTCCAGGGTCAAGTCTATCACAAAGACTATCCTATCAAGTCTATCCCTCTTACCACTGGAAGATGAGCAGGCTAACTTCCTCCAAATCTACTTCATAGGAGATAATGAAAAACAGACTACTATCAGGTGTGGCAACATTCAAGGTGTCAGACATGACATTGTCCAATCTATCCAAGAAATGCTGCATGAGCGCAACACGTATGTATAGTCATTTAAAAATGCCCTGGAAAACATGCCTTCTGACGAGTACAAAGTCAGGATCAAAGCTGATACTTTAATGCACTACAGTGAGACAATGTGGAGCCTCCCGGAGGGTAGCATCTTACCGTGGCCTAGCGAAAGAGCCGCCCGGAGGGCGGCAATTCCGCTAGTTAAAGATAAAGAAGGCATCCTTCAGCACTGGAAGGAGCACTACCATTCACTGCTCAACCGAAACACCGATGTGGGTGTCCTGACTACCCAGCAGGACCATCAGCATCCAGAGCTGACCCATCTCAGCTATCCTCCACCCTGGATGAGGTAGCTACTGCCACCAAACAGATGAAAAATTACAAAGACTCAGGGCCTAATGGAATCCCAGCAGTGGTACATAAGGCAGGAAGCCCTCTGCTTATCAGCCGTCGGCACTCTCATGGGTAATATATGGGAAAAGTGCAGAGAACAGCGTCGTGACCTGTACATGGCCTTCATCGACCTAACCAAGGCCTTTTATTCGGTCAACAGGGAAGCCCTCTGGCGGACCCTTAGCCGTTTTGGCTGCCCACCAAAATTCATTGTTATTGTGAGGCATCTCCATGATGCCATGAACGACAGTGTCCTGCACAATGGCACCCAGTCTGATTTCTTCCCCATCCAATCGGGGTTAAAACAAGATTGCGTACTGGCACTAACTCTCTTTTCTATTTTCTTTGCTCTCTTCCTTACTTGTGCCAATGTTAATTTAACCGGCGGGGTGGACATCGAGTACCGGGTGAAGGGTCTTTGCAACGTAGGATGACTCCTGGCAGGAAGAAAGGTGTCGGCAGCTTCCATTTCTGACCTTCAGTTTGTAGACGACCTCATCCATGTCACTCATACTGAACGCGACCTAAAGGAGATCATGAACACCTACACAGATGAGTATGGACACTTCAGCCTTAAGGTGAATGTACGTAAGACTCAGATTCTCTTTCAGCCTGCCCCTGGTTTAGCCACACCTTCACCATCCATCCATCTTAACGGTACTACCCTCTCTTATGTTACCCACTTTCAGTATCTCAGCTCCCACCTGTCCACCACTGCGGACATCGATGAATTAATTCAACAACGGATCAGATGTGCATCTCAAGCCTTTGGGAGCATCCCTTTCTTGTCTTGAGCTGTAGGGAGCTGAAATTATCTACAAAGTTGCACGTATATCGAGCAGTGTTCCTGCACACCCTATATGGCAGCGAGACATGGGTGACCTACAGGAGGCACATCAAGGCACTTGAAAACTTTCACCATTGTAGTTTACTTTCCATCCTATGAGTTCGCTATGAAGACAAGAGAACAAATGACAGTATTCTCGCAGACACCAACTGTAGGAGCAGCGAGGCTACCATTATCCATGAATAACTAGGCTGGACTGGCCATGTGACCCGCATGGACGACAGTAGACTGCCAAAGCAGCTACTTTATAGTCACTGAACGAATAGTAAACGTAACGCTGGTGAGCAACTGAAAAGGTATAGGGATAGTCTTAAGACGAACCTGAAAAAGTGCCAAATCGACCTCATCACCTGGGAGTCGATTACCACACACCGTAACACTTTGAGGAGCATCGCACATGACGGTGTCAATACTTTCGAGTTAGCCCAACTGCATATCGAGGCAGACAAGCTCCAACGTCGGAAATATGCTGCCGCAGGTCCTCCCGCACTAGATGTAGCCTTCCACATGTGCAATATCTGTGGACGGCACTGCCAGTCCCGTATCGGCCTCTTTAGTCACCTAAGAACACACAAACGAAGGTGACATCCTTATTAACTCGTTTTATTGTATCATTGTTTGATGATCTTCATACTCGATTCCGAGTGAAAACAAAGTCGTAATAGTAGTAGCGAGCATGTGTGTGTGTGTGTGTGTGTGTGTGTATGTGTGTAAATATATATTTAGAGTACCATATATGCGAGGGGTGATAAAAAAGTTCATTGAATGGTACCGTTACCAAGGAATGAGTGAATAGTGGTTAGACCTGTGGGCAGGACTTACATCATCCATCATTCTAGTTGCTACCAGACACCATTGCAGTATGTACCAATGCGCCATATTATGGTTCTGGATGAGGACCTGTTTGAAGTATCTGGCGCATTTGTAGATTTGTCGCAGTTTGAGTATCATTCATACCTGTATATTAAATTTTACTTTAAGCTTGACAAGATGGCTACAGAAACACACAACATGCTGGTAACATTTATGCAGATGAAGCTGTGAGCAAGAAGACTATGTCCAAGTGGTTTCAATGCTTTCTGGTAAGGAAATGAGTCACTGGACGATGAGACAAGAAGTATAACACAAACTAGCATGAGAATATTTTATAGACCTACTGAACGGTGGCAGGAGTGTCTTAATATCTGGGCAGATGTACAGTATGTCCTAATATCTGGGCAGGTGCATGTTCTAATATCTGGGCATGTGGTAAGAGTGAACTAATGCAAAGTTATATTTAAAGTTAAATCATGTGAAATTAAACAGTAACTTGACCATAAATTTTGTTGTTTAATTTATCTGTTAATAATTTTGTTTTGCATAGGCATTAAATACTTCAATTAACCCTTTGTGTATGTTGATTTAGCTCCCTTAGTATGATGGCTTAACACTTTGTGTATGATGATTTAACCCCTTCTGTATGATGATTTAACCCTTTGTATATGATTATTTAACCCTTTGTGTATGATGATTTACCCCTTATGTATGATGATTGAACTCTCTTAGTATGATGATTTAGCCACTTATGTATGATAATTTAACTCCCTTAGTAAGACGGCTTAACCATTTGTGTATGATGATTTAACCCTTGTGTATTGTGTATTATGTTTGATGATTTAGCCCCTCGAGAATGATGACTCAATACATTTTTCCGCAATTTTAAGTATAATATAAATAAATGTAATTACCCTTTTCAAAATAATTGTAAACACAGTTATGGAAACATAAAAAACTCGATATACACTTTTATTTATTAGAAATTTCAGTACATTTTCTAAGTCTTCAAGACGCACTTATTTTATGTAAACTTAAAGCACACCATTTCAGAATATTCAGTAAAATTTCAGAATATTCAGTACACTTTCTAAATATTCAAGGTACATTTATTTTCAGTATTCCAATATTTACCTCTGAGAATTTGGGCGTCCAAACTTGTACCCTCGTTAGCGTGGTCCCATATGGCGCACACTGAAGTATTATGGCGCGTAATTTGTTGTATGGCGCAGGTCGGTTATGGAGTACAGGGGCCCCACGCCATTATACTACAACACCTCCACTATTTTAGTAGTGGAAGTGATGTATAGCCGACTTATGGTGTGGTGCCTCTCTCTCTCTCCCTCTCTTTCTTTCTCTATCTCTATCTCTCGTCTTTCTTTAATCTCACTCTCTCTTTCTCTCCTTTTCTCATCCCCTTCGTGTTATTAAGTCATCGTGGTGAGTGTTGTAGGAGAGAGAGAGAGAGAGAGAGAGAGAGAGAGAGAGAGAGAGAGAGAGAGAGAGAGAGAGACAGATAGACAGACAGACACACAAACGAAAACAATGTCGAGATAAACAAAAAGGGAGAGAGAAGATATACACACTAAGAAAGAGAAAACGATAGATAATATAAACAAATGTGAAGGACATATAAAGATAGACGACCATAGAAAAAAATATGAACGTAACGAAAGAAAGAGACACAAGACGAAGATATAAGAAACGGTAGAGTAATCCTTCAAGATGTCTCGGTTGATTGACAACAAGTGACTTTCTCCCAAAATGATTCGTTTTCTGTCAAAAAATATCGACCTTAGACGTCTTATCTCATCAGTAAGAGGCCAATTTCTACTTAATAATTCCCTCTCTGAAGATTTTTCTAAGTCACTACTAAAGTAAATCATTCACTTATATCTAGATTGCAAGTGTATGCTTAAGTATACTAATTAAAGTCATTAAAAGTAAACATCTGCATTTAGTAGCATAAGCTGGGAACTTCAAGTCAATTAGTACAGGTATAATTATCAAGACTATACTTCACGAGGAACACTAATTATAGGTAAATTATCAGACCATACTTTTGTGGTATGATTTCTATAATTAGTTTAGTTAAGGTGAGTTTACATGTATAACTCCGACTGAAGTTCATAATTACTTTAATGTGAGCTAATTTGAATGTGACAGTGATTTACATTTTATTAATTTTTTGTTTTATCTTTATAGTAATGTATAGTGTATCTTTATAGATATGTATAAAAATAAGATATTGAGACACACAGACACAAAGACAGACGGAAGAGAAAGACACACAAACAGAGGCAAAATAGAGGACTAGACACAAAGAAACACACACACACACACACACACAGGTGCAGTAGAGCAAAAGAGTGAGAGAGAGACAAAACGACAAGGACAGAAAAGAGAGACAGACATACAGACAGATAGGCAGACAGACAGAAGAGAGAGAGATAGCCCCCTAGGGAACAAAGGTCGCCCCAGTTTCCACAGTCAGCAAACTCCGGGCCAGCAAGACTCAGAAAACACAAATTTATATATATATATATATATATATATATATATATATATATATATATATATATATATATATATATATATATATATATATATATATAAAACAAAGAAGTATGTCTGTGTGTGTGTGTCCGCACGAGAATCTCGGAAACTACTTTACCGATCTGTAGTGATGATGGATGGTGTTATATGTAGTGATAATGGATGGTGTTATATGTAGTGATGATGGATGATGTTATATGTAGTGATGATGGGTGTTATATGTAGTAATGATGAATGATGTTATATGTAGTGATGATGGATGATGTTATATGTAGTGATGATGAATGTTGTTATATGTAGTGATGATGGGTGCTGTTATATATAGTGATGATGGACGGTGTTATATGTAGTGATGATGGATGGTGTTATATGTAGTGATGATGGATGGTGTTATATGTAGTGATGATGGATGATGTTATATGTAGTGACGATGGGTGGTGTTATATGTAGTGATGATTAGACAATAAAATAATAACAGTTTAATGATAAAAAAATATACTTTGCTGTACCGTTGTAGTGAAAAAACATGGTGGAACTTCCATACACCGTTAATGAACTATTGATGGAGGAAGTTTTGGGGACTGAATAGAGAGACAATGTAGAGCCTCCCGGAGGGTGGCATCCTACCGTGGCCTAGCATATGAGCCGCCCGTCTGTTTGTGGGTGGGTTTGTTTGTTTGCGTGTTCGCACAGGAATCTTGGAAACTACTTTACCGATATGTAGTGATGTTTGGTGGTGTTATATGTAGTGATGATGGATGGTGTTATATGTAGTGATGATGGATGGTGTTATATGTAGTGATGATGGATGATGTTATATATAGTGATGATGGGTGGTGCTATATGTAGTGATGATGGATGATGTTATATGTAGTGATGATGGGTGTTGTTATATGTAGTGATGATGGATGGTGTTATATGTAGTGATGGTGGATGATGTTATATGTAGTGATGATGGATGATGTTATATGTGGTGATGATGGATCTCGTTTTATGTAGTGATGATGGATGGTGTTATATGTAGTGATGATGGATGGTGTTGTATGTAGTGATGATTTGACAATAAAATAATAACAGTTTAATGCTAAATAAATATACTTTGCTGTACCGTTGTAGTGGAACTTACATACACCGTTAATGAAATATTGATGGAAGAAGAAGTTTTGGGGAATGAACAGTGAGACAATGTGCAGCTTCCCGGAGGGTGGCGTCCTACCGTGGCCTGTGGGTGGCGTCCTATCGTTGCCTAGTGGATGAGCCTCCCGGAGGGCGGCGATTCTGCTAGTATATATATATATATATATATATATATATATATATATATATATATATATATATATATATATATATATATATATATATATATATATATATATGCAACTAAATCACTGTAGGTGCGCGTGATCCAGGTATATGCTGATAACCACAAGGAAAAAGAAAACACGAAGTTCCCAAGCGCTTTCGTGTAATTCACATCTTCAGGGGTGAGTACAGACTAAGGAGAAATACATAACAAGGCAAATATATATACAATAGAGGAAGGTGAGATCAAGTCCACAATAGTCAGGTTATAAGGTAGTGACCCTATTAATTTTAAAAAAGCACTGCAGCAGTCGGTAGTCAGGTCACAGGGTAAGATGACTCAACCTTCTCACCTGGTTACAAATCTTGTTAATTACGAAATTATCCAGTTTGTATATACCATTACTCAAATTCATGTTGACGGATTCGGTATGTTTAATGAGACTGCATTCTATGATGTTCCTACTGTCAATTGAATTACAAGGTAACCTGACTATTGTGGACTTGATCTCACCTCCTCTACTGTATATATATTTGCCTTGTTATGTATTTCTCCTTAGTCTGTACTCACCCCTGAAGATGTAAATTACACGAAAGCGCTTGGGAACTTCGTGTTTTATTTTTCCTTGTGGTTATCAGCATATATATATATATATATATATATATATATATATATATATATATATATATATATATATATATATATATATATATATATATATATATCCCCGAGTGAGCTGAACTTGTCAATCTCATAAGGTCGTCAAGCCCATATTCCCCCGGGTACTATTCTGGGCCTTACTGCCTGGAGAAACTAAGCACAATATCTGATAATAACTTGATCCTCTATAACTTTATCATATTCGTACGTTAGATTAAGTTTAGGTTAGGTTTGGTTTAGTGAAGTTACTGTAGGTTAGTTTAGGTTAGGTTAGGTTAGGTTAGGGCGTTTCATCATCAGGTGAAATAAACAGGGGTAAATAATCTTCATATATAATCCCTTTCTTGTCAGTCTATCACCCAAATCTGAGGAGCAACATAACGTGGTTAGGGTTGGTGGGTTATTATTATTATTATTTTTTCTGAATGTGTTGATCTCTGAGCATTGGTTGGAGATATCATGACCAAACTTTGTACACAGGTAGTTCTCTCTTTAGGGTTATCGAGGTCATTATTTTGGGGGTATTAGGTCAAAGTCCCACGAGGTTAATGAAGTGTAAAGGTCGAATAAATATTGTGTGGGTCTGGTTCCGTTGGGATGGTGATCTCTCTCTCCCTCTACAGTAGATACCTCAAACTTAAGAGCACAAAACAACCCAGTTTGTTGTGAGTACAGTATTAACAGAATATATAGTGTAATTATCCCGTCATAC